GGGCCGAGCTGTGGAGGGCCCAGCGGGGCGGCGGGGCCGGGGCCGGGGACCGAGCGGGGCGACGGAGCCGAGGGCCGGCGTCCCCGGGGGCTCCTGGGCTGCCGAATCCCCCTCGCCTCGCGCCACCTCGGCCCGGCCCCTCCCGCGAGCGCGCCTCTGGGAGCGTCGTCTTCTGGGTCGATGGGCCCTGGGTGCGGAGCTGCGGCAGGTCCGCTCTAAAGAGGTGCGGCTGGGGGTCCAAGCGAGTCACCTTCAGGAAATTTGTATTAATGGAAAGGAAAGGTCCAACTGACACGTGTGCCCACTTAGGAACGTCGGTACCGTGGTGGAGAGGCGCGAAGACTGAGCTCCCGGACCGGGCAGTATTTAGAACAACTGCTGTCGCCCTGGGGCGGGGGCGGGTGACTTTCCTCCTTGGCCCGCAGCTACGCTCTTACCTTTTCTGCCGGTTGACACGGGAGGCCCACCGTAGGCATGCTGGCATCTGGTTGAAATGAAAGTGTCATCGCAATACTTAAGCACACAGATGGGGAGAAAGAAGTGATTATTTCTCTCTTTAAGCAAGAATGCTCTGCAGTGACATCCCGGCGGGTTCGGATGCCTGTTTTGCAGGACTTGGCTTGTGACAGCTCTGAACGATACGGGAGTCGTGGGAAAGCGGTGTCATTCCAGTGGACGGCGAGATTCGTGTGGTGATCCTCTTTGGGGTCTTAAACAGTGGCGCTGTTGGTCTGCTTGTACCTAGTTTCTTGGAAGAGTCTAGAAGGAGCTTAGCATTCATTTGAGTTCGGATATGGCTTTGCGTGTCTCATTATTTAAAATTATTTGATTTCTTGTGCCTGAGAAGTTTCAGTAAATGGCAGTTTACATTGGCCTACCAAGCATATCTTTTCATACAGCCTCTTGGGGCAGTTTGTTGGTTAGCAAGACTTAGACATGCCTTTTTTTGTTAGAAATTTTTCTATTTAGTGATCTTAATGAACGTAGTATTGTCTAAGGCTTTATGGAGACCTAAGAGCAACATTTGAGGTAGATTTGCTGTTTTATCTGGTTTCTGTCTTCACCAACTCTGGCATGGAAGTTAACGGGGGACAGTTTTGTAGGAGAGGTGCCTTTTTTCTCATCATGCAAACTATAGTTTCGGTTATAGTACTTTTGGAAAAATCCTCGAGGAAGAGTAGGTAGTAAGGGTAGGAAACAAGATTAACACGTCAGAACAAGGAATTGGCCTGGAACCTGAAAGTGGCCCTGGGGATAAACCAACAGGAATGCCCCCTCCACATTGGTGTATATATCTTACATACGCTGTATTTTCTGGTGGTTCTCCTTAGCTCACCTTCATTCCCCCCCCCTTAAAGATTTCTTTAATAGTCATTTTGTAGAAAAGTGTAAAATATCATTTAACAGCTATTGCCTTTCCTTGCTTCTAATTTTGGTAATCTTGACAACCAGTGCTGACAATTTTCAGAGATTTGTAGCACAGCAACAAACTATAGAAATTACCCCTGAAAGTATAGTCTTTGTAGCACAGTAAATAAGGGAAATTGGTTCTTTGGAGAGAACCTCTTAATAGACCCTAAGACCAGCCCCAGTTGGCTTGAATAGTTCTTTCCCTTTCCAAGTGAGTTAGTTTATGGCTAATTTAAAGCTGAATGTAGCTCTGCTGGTATCCTCCACCAGGACTGAGAAGGTTCTTAAAGTTGACTTGGATCTCAGGGTTCATACAAAACAAACCTCTTTTGTAGCTAAACAAACTGGGTGGAGCCAGGAGGGGAAGATCATGGTCCACCTAGTGGCAGAGTCTGGACTGGTACCCGTAGCCTCCTGGCCTGGATCCCAGTCTCCGGCAGGTAGCCGTCATGTCTAACGTGAGCAGGGGACCAAGACTGAGCCAGGAGACATGGAGGGTCCTTGCATATGGTTTTGAAAAATTTAACCCACTTCAAAAATTAAAACTGAGCAAAGTTCGTATTTGTTCTTCTCAAATGTAATTAATTTCACTCCATTTTCTTCTGGGTGCCCCAGTTTTCTAAATAACAGATTCGTTTCCCAAATACTGTTCTGAAATTTTGCCAAGGTTGGTAAACTTAGGTCTTAAGCTGCCCCAACGAAAATGTTTGTCTCTGGGAGGTTTCTGGGTTGGTCTAGAAAAAACAGCTCAGGCTGCTGTAATGGGGGGCTGGAGAGTGATTTATGTGGAAGCCTGGGTGGCACTCACGGGTGGTGGCTGGGATGTTACACTCATGGCTTATCAACAGAGATTGGGGGCAAATGTTTGTTATGCTTCCAATCCAATTGTGAAATGAATCCTGGAAAATGGGTGTAACTAAAATTTTACTTTTTAAATGCTTGAGGATATCTCAGGCAACTTTGCAAATAACATGCTAGTAAAAGTTCGACACCTTAGACTCCTGCCCTTCATTTTTGTCTGTTTGTAAGACTTCTAAGGATTCTTAGAGACCAGAGGAAAGGAATCTGGGGAACCAGATATCGATGTGCATTTGGAGCAGCATTCATTTCCATTTACAGCTTTGGTTCGGTTTATTTACCATTTCTGTGTACGAGCCCGGGCCCTGGGGATGTGGAGAGGCCTGCAGCTGGGCCTGAGGGCAGGGGCCGTCTGCCGTGGAAGACAAGGAGTAAACACATCTACCGCCCTAGGAAACGGGAGCAAAAGACTCGCCCTCCTTCTGTATGTCCATACCTGTTGTTGGCAATGCTTTAGTTAAACGTACTATTAACCTCTGGAACAGCTGTCATTAAGAAAAAGAGCATCCACCAAACACAGTTACTCCAGGCTCACTGGGTTTTCAGCGCAGCTGGGCGCAGTTAAGTTCATTATAGCTGAATTATAGTTTATTATAGCTGAATTTATCTTTATTCTCCTACTTATTCGGTAGGAATATGCACTGGCAGCAGTCTGTGAAGTTGCCATCTTTGTCCACAGCAAAGATGTTTTATTTAGTTTATATTTATGTTTAGAAGCTGATTTTAAAATGTTGGGTGGTTCAAATCATGTTCCAACTGGACAGTGTATGGATGTACTCAGTGAATTAGTATTGAACACTAAAAAAGATGTTGGGTGGGAAAATAGAACAGTATATGGCTGCACTTGCACACAGGAATTTTTATAATAGTAGTATTTATAAAGAGCGATAATAAAATTGTTTTAATCCAGATGAGATTGGCAACAATACTAGAATAAATTTATATGTATATAGGTCATAGCATCTTCTTTCCAGAGCCACCTTCTCGGAAGTTGATGACATTGATCATTTATTTCCAGACACCATGAGAATGAATCCTACTATAGTAAATTAAGCTGATTTTGTTCATTTTTTGGTTGAAAGCTTTAAATAATGTCATCTAAATCATTATGTTCACATATTACTTTGTAATGACATGTCTCTCCAACTATTGTCAGGTTATGGAGAACTGGACTTGGTGTGTTTTTTCCTGCATTGTCCAGAGAGCCTAGTATAACTGTTGAAATTATAAAGAAGTGATTGTATTAAAAGGGAGAATAGAGATATTCTCACAAAAGTATTCAACAGTAGATTTTGTGCTGTAAGCTTTGCTTTCTTTTAGGCACTGAGCAAAACTATTTAAAACTCAAATAGGATATTCTTTTCTTTCTGTATTCGTTTCTCTTGAGCAGTTTCTTTTCTCTTAAGCACCATATCAGTAAAAAGTTGGAAATAATAAGGAAATTGTATTGAATAATCTATGATTTATAATGGATTCCTATACCAACTTAAAAAACTATGGAAAATTAACAGAAATAGATGTGAATATTACAGGTGGTAGGAATCCTGGCGGAAAGATGGGAATCCTACGCAGTTAACCTGCTTAGTACATCTGACTACAAACCTGGGGTTCTAGTCCGTTGGAACGAGGGGTTCTGCACTACTGGTTTTGTGTCACACCACTTGATAGAGCCACGCAGTTGCCGCATGGTTTTCTCATACTTTGCCTTTGGCCTTAGATACCAGCCTTTGTCAGATACGAAGTGTTACTGTCTGGTTCTAGGAAAGATGTCTTCACTGCTCTGCTATGCCACAGCTAAGAACTGCTGAATTTAGATGTGGAACCAGTAGAAATGCTAGGAAGAAGCTTCCTGGCCCTAAATAACACCCATGTCTCCTCCTTTCATTGCAGAACAAAGAGTAGAAGATGTCCGACTTATCCGAGAGCAGCATCCTACCAAAATCCCGGTAGGTAGTCTCCGGCATCTGTGTTAGCTCGTCATGAACGTATGCAGAGAATACTGTGGGAAGTACAGCTTCAGAACACTGCTGCTCAAGCACACCCATTCGACAGGGATTTCTGTAGGGATCCATAGACATTCAGACCCTGTGTGTCAGTTTCATAACCTAGAATGAGGTTTCTTTTTTTTTTAAGTGATGGGGTCTTACTGTGTTGTCCAGGCTGGAGTGCAGTTCCTATTCACAGGCAGGATCATAGGGCACTACATCCTCCTCAAACTCCTGGGCTCAAGCAATCGTCCTGCCCCAGCCTCCCAGGTCTCTGGACTACAGGCACCCAGCTTAGAACTGAGATATTATTTAACAGTTTTACTATCTAGTCATTCTTCCTAAGTCTGAGTTTGCTGCCTTAATATTATATATTTCACAAATGTAAGTATTTGGGGGGAGAGGGACAGGAGGGCTAGAACTGTTGATATTTTATTATGGAAAGAAGTATTACCTGTCTTTTTTTTTTTTTTCTTTTTTCTGAGACAGGGTCTTGCTTTGTTGCCCCAGCTAGAGTGCAGTAGCATCATCATAGCTCACTGCAGCCTCAAACTCCTGAGCTCAAGGGATCCTCCCGCCTCAGCCTCCCAAGTGCTGGGGTTACAGGCATGAGCCACCACACCTGGCCCTATTACCTGTCTTTTAAAGGAAGCAAACAGACTACTGCTATGGAAAAATCAGTAGCTCTCAGGATTTAAACGTAACTGCAAATTCAAGGATGCCACAGAGTCTCCTGCTTCTTTGCAGGAGGTGGAGAAAAGACACTGTTCTTTCTTGTCATGTGTAGGGGCCTCAGATACTAACGGCTTTGCCCAGCCATCAGCATCGTCTGCTCTAAATCCTGCTCGTTAAACAGGCCTTCTGAGGTATTTGGTCTAGAGGAACCTACCTTTGGTCTCAGACAGGTTAAGGTCGAGACCTGGGTTCAAGGTTACTGAGTAATCTTGGACTAGTTACGGAAGTTCCGAGAGGAGTTCCAGCATCCTCGTCTGTAAAATGGGAAGAGAATCCCATGTGATTATTGCAAAGGTCTGCATAGTTCTGGGCCAGTGGCAGTCACTTACTGTTGGCTGATAGGACGTCCTAATTTTGTAGACGGCTGAGAAAGGAACTCCAATACTGAGTTCTGTGGACGTTTCATGTATGGCTTTCCGACTGGTCGACTGATACAAAATTGAGAGGGGTAAGGGGGTAAACAATGGTTGGGGTTAGAGCCGCTATGTTGGCTGTGTTGGGGCTTTAAAAGCGGACAGAGGGAGGAATAAATGGGGTCTGCTCAGCAGTTTCCCAACTGCACGATCAGCTACAGTAAAACAGTAAAACACACGTTTGTTCTGTTTTCCCGAGACTAGGTGGAAACTTCACAGTTGTCTCTCTCGGCCCCGGGGCGAGCTTCCAGGGAGGGCCCTCTTAGACTAAGCAGAATTTCCTTGAGTGTTTCTGCGCTTCTGAGTACCTGCCACATCTGTTTGCTGGCACACGCTAGCAGGCGGAACCAAACAGCCAGCCAGGGCTGGTTCCACCGCCTCCTTTTGAAACGTGAATCTCTGTGTGCACTGACAGCCACCTTTTCTGCTCGTCGTTTCGGGTTCTTTGCGGAAATGTACGTATTTGTATTTCCACATGCTCGTGACACCTGAACAGGTCCGAGAACCGGGCTCTCGCAGGTGCTCACTTGCTGAGATCCGGGATGGCCAGCGAAGCCCGGGCGACGTCGGGCCTGGGTTTCCGCCGGGGCCCGTCCCTCTGTGCCTCTGCCTTCAGTGAAACCTTCCGCAAGGCACTTTTCAGGTCTGACCAGATGTCCCATCCCACGACTTACACGTCTTCTCTCATGAATTAGAAGAGTAAAGGAAAAATAAAATAAGAACTGAACAGTAAACCAGTCATTTACATATGATTGTGTTTTCATGGAGATTAACAACAAATAAGAGTCAGGACCTGCTAGAACGGTGCCTCCCACAGCAGACCAGACCCAAGGCAAACGAGAGCAGAAAGGTACCCCCAAGATAATCATTTGGCATTTCCCAGACTCTTGTGTGTTCCTTTAGTAGAAAGATTCTAAGGTCTTCAATTTTTCTTATTCTGTGGCATTTTCTGAGTTCTCCTGGGCCCAGGACCCAAGATTTCTGTGCTGCCTCTAATTTTTTCTGCCACGTAAACCCAGGCACGTGGTGTCTGCACACTGATACGTTTTTGTGGACAGCATGCTTCTGAATGTGCCCATTAGATAAAGCTCTGGTCTTACCAAGAAAGACGACGACAGCTTGGCTAGGCCTTACACAGAACCTTACGTAGGTCCCACACAATGGAACAATGTACAGAAAAGCATTTTTCCTTTCCAGAGAAACGAGAAGATTTTCCATACCTATCTCTCACCTTGCATCGTTTTGACATGGTAAAAGAGTTAACATTATACGGCAAAGTATATCTGTGGCACTCAGAAAACACAAATGATAAGGAGGCTCAAAGGTCTGTGGTCAGACTTTATAGCTATTTAGAACTAAAACTTTTTTGTTGTTGTTGCTCCGTGGAAAGGAAGTATGGCAAGGAGCTAATGGATTCATTTCAATTGTGGAACTACTTTTGTTCCCTATGTAGTTCCAGTACTTAATTCAATTTTAACCTCATATAAAGAAATATAAAGAATATCTCATCAAAATGAAAGGACCAAGTCCTTCTGTACCAACTCTGTCTCCAGAACCAGCTAATCAGTCTCCATTTGGCTTGTCAAATGTTTACTTACGATTTTTTTTATGTCAGGCAGAGAAACAGACTCTAGTATGGGAAAACATTGAGCATATTACCATAATTAAGAACTTTTTTGTGTGTGTGTGAGATAGTGTGTCTCGCTGTTGCCTGGGCTAGAGTGCAGTGGCATCATCATAGCTTATGGCAACCTGACACTCATGGGCTCAAGCGAGCCTCCTGCCTCAGCCTCCTGACTAGCTGGGGCTACAGGTGCCCACCACTGCACCCAGCTAATTTTTGCAGTTTTTGTAGGGGTGAGGTCTTGTTATGCCGCCTAGGCTGGTCGTGCACTCCTGGACTCAAGTGATCCTCCCGGCTCCACCTCCCAAAGTGCTAGGATTACAGGTGTGAGCCACCGTGCCTGGCTGCACTTACACTTTCATTAAAAGGCATGCACTTGCTTTCTTTAGAACTTCTCATGTCTCAAGAACTGGTGGGTATTGGGCTGGACATAGAGTTGTTTTGGATCTTTGCACTTGAAGCTGGTGTCCAGCTTCTGCTTCTCTAAGGCTTGGGGTCTTTTTCTGACTACATAGTTTATTTTTCATGGTTCCAAACTCAAACAGAATGAAAGGATACACAGCAAAGTATCTTTGCCCACCCTGCAGCCACCTTGCTCACCTGGTAGTGGCCATGACATCTCTTATGTACCATGTTTTGTAAGGGATAGAGGCTGAGCTAATAACTGGTCACTCTGCATAGGAGACTTTTGAGGAAATTAATCAGTGTGCTATTTGAAACCCATTTTGGCCTGTGCCCGTTACAACACAGGAAGCATTTTAGCTATTTTTCATTGTTGATTACTTTTTAAATTTCTTCTGGCTTCTTTTCTAGGTTATAATAGAACGATACAAGGGTGAGAAGCAGCTTCCTGTCCTGGATAAGACCAAGTTTCTTGTACCTGATCATGTCAACATGAGTGAACTCATCAAGATAATTAGGTATTTAATCACCATTGTCTTATATTTCCTTGGTGTAACTTCTCATTATCATACTTACAGATGAATCTTTAGTTCTGATTAAAATCTCTATCAGCTTAATAAAATTACACAGTGATTCACTTCTCAGGTTGTGTATCTCCTACTTGCTGGACCTCAGGTCCCTCTGATTCTTTCATCCCAACATCTAGCATGGATGTTGTTTCTTCTAGAAAGGAAACGTTATAAGTTACTGACGTTTTGTACAGCAAAATTAGCATAAGAGAGCACAGACACGGTGCCATGGCAGTCAGCTGCACTTCTGTTTGTAAACTAGTTAAAACTGCTTTTCTTACATTAGACACTTACTGCCTATTCGACAGCATACTAGCTTAAGACCAGTCTCAGGAGTACAGTAAGAATCATCTTTCAGTGATTATAGCTAATATTGAACATCAGTATAATCACAGAAAATGTCTCTGAGAAGTATTAGATTCAGCAGCAGCATTTACAAAATCTTAATATTTTATTGATCAGGGTAGGTGATATTGTTACACATGCCGCATACTTAATGTATTGGTACGTATTTCTTCCTATTGTTTTCTTTCAACAGAAGGCGCTTACAGCTCAGCGCCAATCAGGCCTTCTTCCTGCTGGTGAACGGACACAGCATGGTGAGCGTGTCCACGCCCATCTCGGAGGTGTACGAGAGCGAGAAGGATGAGGATGGGTTCCTGTACATGGTGTACGCCTCTCAGGAGACGTTTGGAATGAAATCGGCAGTGTAAGACCAGAAAAATGCACCCATTCTAGAACTTTTTTAAACCCTTACCAAGGAAAAAAAGGGATGTTACCAACTGAGATTGATCAGTTCATCTAATCACAGATCATCAAAACAGTAGTGTTTGCACCTCCTAGGGTTTTAGGAAGTTGTTTTTGTATTTCAGACAGAAAAAGTGAGCTCCAAATGAGCACATTCAGCTTTGGAAAACTATTATCACTTAACGTAGGCTATCTTGTTTTCAAATCTTAGAAGTTTACAAATAAAATACTTTGCATTCTAAGTTGCCAACACATAGACCTTCAAGTTATTTTAATGCTCCTTTCCCCCCAATAGGAACTTGCAATTTGAGCAATAATCGAAAGGCATTCAGAGAGACACTGAGTCTTCTCTTTAGGTTCCCAGAACCTGCCACCTTTTTATAGAAGGGTTTCTGTTCAACTGGAGAAACCTTCCTCGGAGGACCTTTAGGCAGAAGTTAGTCAAGCACGATCCCCCAGAACACAGTAGCTGTAATAGCGGGCGCAAAAGCAGGGTGAACGGGGTGTGCCGGGAAACAACTCTGAACCGCTGCTCAAGGTTCCTGACTCCTAGCAGTTGACCCCAAGTCCACGCTCTCTGGACGGTTACAGAAAAGCACCGCCGCTCAATAGGAACCCTGAATAATTTATAATTTTGGTCTAGTTTTTTAAGAGGCCACAGAGAAAAAGAGTGGTATTTCTTCTTTTGGATTTTCTCTAAGAGCTCAAATTAGTGCCTGCATTGGTAGATGAACGAGCAGTTGTACCACCGTCGTTCCTTAGGGCAGTGGTAGAAACCACAGAGTAGGAAAATTAAAAGCATCAAAATTCAGATGCACTCCCACCTTTTGGCTTAAAGCTATAGGTGATCCATGTTTTTTTTTTACGTTGGGTGTATGACTAAGATGTTATTGAAAGGTTTTCACATTTTAAAGAGTAGTTCAATTATCACTTAGGTCAAACGACCATTCTCCCACTCTAAGCGCATGTCACTTGTGGAGGAAACACAGCAAAACAAGACGTATGCTCTTTACAAATACTAACGCAGACTTAACCACCTTCCGAGTCCAGCCTGTGACAAACCAGTGCTTCCTACTCCTGCATGGGGTTCACTGTTCTCTATTTTCTTGGGAGTATCAGAGAAAGGTCACAGTGGAACCACTTCAGACTGCACATGTAGCAGGCCACAGCTTACCCGTGTGTTTAGATGCGTGTGGAATACCTGTATCTGTCAGCGATGTTTACTGTGATGGAGGGGAAAGCACGAGTCCTCACCTCATCTTTGCTCGTTATAAAGGGGTCCCGTCACCTGCTGTCACACTGCATGCACGTGTCTACTTGGCTAACTTTTAATATGTATATTTTTACATTATGTAAATTCTTAACCAGCCTGTCTTTAGATTGTACACATTGTATCTGACATTCTTGTAACTACTATGTGACCAGTAAGATTCCTATAAGAAGTATTGCTTTAAAACAAAAAAACACCACGCTGGCAGTGTGTGCGTGCGTGCGTGAGACCTGTATCCCACTTTAGTGGTTGGTCACTTTATTTATAGGATCTTTAAAACAAGTAGATTTTTAATGAACTAAGGTGAATAAAGGCACAATTAAAAACTGTCATCAAAGCTTAATTTAATAGGATCAGTATTTGAGAGTCCAGATCCCATACTTTTGGTTCTCTCCAAAGCCAAGTAGGTCATTATCTTCCCAACACGGAGCCTCCAGGCCACCCGCCCGCACCTTCCTCACCTTGGTCAGAGCCCGCCGCCTGGTCTCGCAGACTAAATTCTTGAGAACTTACGGACCTGCTACAAAGTGGAGGATGGGTGTGGGACCAGGTGTTTTGTGGGACTAAACACCTGACAACCTACTGCCCTAAACCAACTGCCACCCAAGTGGAACAAGCACAAAGGGTACAGAGTGTGGTGGGTGTGGTCATGAAAGCGTGACCTCAGGTGACCAAGTGGGGAGCTGTGGCATTAGGTAAAGAGAAACAGCTTCACTGCTCCTGGTCGGAGCGGCCGGCGTTGCTCATTTAGGAAACTGGACCAAACCCAGTGTAGGCGCTTAAGCGCGGGTACAGAATACCAGGCAGCGAGCCGAGGATGCCGTGTTCCCAAGTCGGCGCTCAGAGAGGCGCACGTGTGCCCCGTCCTGTCTTCAGAGCTCCCTCAAGACAACCCACTGGGTGTCGGAGGGGCTGCCAGTGGGTGCTGTCTCCTTGTGGGTTACCTGACGTCGCTACCGCCCCGAATCCGGGCAGGTGCGGTCTGAGACACCCCACGTGAGGGGTTCTGCACCGTGTAGTGGCTGAGTCGGTCCCAGGACTGGCGCAGCAGCCAGTTCCCCATGTCACCCCCTCTGCAGCAGGCCTCCCACGCCGGGGCAGGGCCACATCCCCACGGCATTTGCCACCTCCTGCTGCCAACTCTGAATGTTATGGACACTTGGGCTGGAACATCTTCAACCACAAATCAAGAATTGTATCTTTGTTCTTAGCAAGGACATTTTTTTAAAAAAACTGGGAAGCCTGATAGAAAATGGATGGATTTAAGACCAAGTATCCCTCCTGTAAATCTGGGAAGTAGGTAGAAAGGGCTGAATCCCCAGTTTGGAGAGCAAGATTATGATTTGAAAAGATGTGTGCTTCATGTTCTGAGACAAAGGCCGAATAAAATCAGATACTGAGCCTTTTTTTAAATTTTTATTTTCAGTACATTAAATTTACTCATAAAAACATTCTAAAAATGTACAATTTTTCCTTTTTAACAAAGTATAATAAAACATAAAAACCCCAAAAACAGAATACTTGACATTTACAATTCAAAATCAAATTAGCGGAATATTAAATATTTACAAAACTATATCTTTTAAAAATATTTATAAAGTTACATGCAATTTTGTAGAATTGACAAAAGAATGGCTCAAAAATGGGAGAATTTTCCTTCATTCCTAAAAAGAAATTATGTCCAAATAGAAGCTGTGCGGAGTACACAAGGTTCTCAGATGCGGTGCCAAAGCCTCATCTTTTTGTGCACGTGAGAACTCACACGTGTGAGGAGGGCTGTCACGACACACGTGTGGCTGGAGCGGGGACCAAAGGCCACTGCTCCCCTCCCTTGGTGAACAGTGCAGCAACCTTGACCTTTGGCCTCAACCAGCACAGTATATGGTTTTCTAGAATATTGCGAGTGTTGATAAAGGATGATCACTTTCATTCAGACCCTTGGGACTTTGCAACGATTCAGCCTCTTCGGAACCCGTGGCTTTAAACATCACCTGACTCGTTCTCTGGGAGTCACCTGCACTTTGGCAAGGACAGCCGACCCCGCTCAGGTTGCACAGGACCCTTGTCTGCAGGGGGTCGAGTGGAGCAGGGAGACGGCGTCCCTCACAACGCGAAGACCTCAGTTGTTACCAGATTGGAAAGCAAGCGAGGCACGAACACGAGGAGGCAGGAAGGGTGACGGAAACGACAGGGAGGGGGGAGGGAGCAGCCCGGCCCCACCCAGCAGGCGCCCACGAGCAGTACGCAGAGTGGGCAAGTAGAGCTCGGCCAGCCTGCGCTCAGCTGCGACCCGCAGGACAGCTGGCGTGTCGCCGCCGCCGCCGCCGTGGCGCCCCAGGGCAGTGTGCAGTACAAACTAACCACACTGACTTCTGGCAACAAAGGACTAGAATTCTAAATACTGAATTAAAATACAGAACCTACTAACTACTGTACTAACAAGCTGACTCCTGCGATCCTTCGGAGATGCCAGGCGATGCTGGTTTCTTGAATACCCAGTCGCTATACGTGTTCACGACGACGTCTCTATTTTAATCGTTTTCATCCAAGTGCTAGCTCCCACCTCCTCAGTGCTCTTTAGCCATCAGGAGTTCTAATGTCTAACACCAATTGTCAGTGTCACCACGAAATAAAAATTAGAAAATAAGGCAAAAAATTGTTTTGTTTAAAAAATAAAATGAAAGATTAAATAGTTGTTTTATCCCAACATTGTTTCTCCATCTCCACGTTCCACTTTCCCCTTTCTTGGATACGAGTTATTAGAAACTTTGATATCCGACAGACGACAAAGAGCCAAGAAGTGGCTGCTGCCACACCTACCTGGTTGCTACAGCATTCTGAACTGAGACCCCAAGTTCGGGAAGATGACCCAGTGCCTGACAGGGCCGGCGTGTTCTGCGTGTCCCTGACGAGGAAGCCTCCTGACGAAACGCAAAATGCTCTTCAGGCTCCCTGACCCTGGCTGCTTCTGGAGAGGAATTCATCAGAGATAAGACCGCCAGCAAATAATCTCCAGTCCGAGCATGCGGCTCCCCCAGGAAGGTCTCGTGGACCGGCGGCTGCGTCTCTGCACCGTGTGACTCGCGTGTGTCTCACGATTCCCGACCGAACGGCCGCCCGGGCGACGCCGCGCTGTCAGACCGCCGAAGGCCGGCACAGCCAGGCAGCGTCGGGACTTATCTGCCTCAGCTCTGAATGCAACTGCAACCCGAGTTTCTGTCCTAACTTTCTGCTGTATTTAAGGTTAACCTCGAATATTTATCAAAATAGTTACAAGGGTAACAACAGGTACTTTCATTCCCCTGTACTGACCACCAAAACAAAAGCTTTTAAATCATTTTTACTTTCGTTATGAGACAGTTTTCAACAATTTCACTGTGTGGAGATAGGATTTATTTAAAATATTTCTTTGTTTAAAAAAACCAAAAAATTTAAAAGTTTGGCTTTCAGCACGTATGCAGGCCACCATAATAGCCTCAGAAATATTAAAATCGTAAACATCAATGAACACTCTGAAGTCTTCCTCTAACATAATATGACAAGGTCCAGTCTAGCACTCTTTAAGGCAAAGTTGTGTCGTTCTCACTGTTTTGACATTTCGTAGTGCTTATGATTCAAGAGACCAATGTAACGTTCCCCTCAACGGCTGCTGTATTTCGCGTCACCATTAATACTGTGCACCGGGAATGGAGAGAACAGAGGTCTGTCACTTCTGCATTGCATAGAAATAAAACTCCACTAAAACAAAACTAGAAACTCTACTGAAAAGCCTTCCATAAGGAAACGTAACGACGCTCCCATTTGTTTCCATTACGTCAGGAAACTGACCTCGAGGTCTGCAGCCTCCCTCGCAAGGCCTCACGTTCTAGGGCGTTCTTTTGATTGATACCAATTTTCCATGAGGCTGATTGTCCCATTTTAAGAATGGTCTGAATATTGTAATTTTTTAAAAAGTAAATATTCAACTGGAAAGTCCCTGGCAAGACCTTACCGATCAATATTTTAATATTGAAGGCTTTAGCATTTTAAATAATATTACTTGAGCAGAAAATTCCCTTTAACCTTGAAGATTTAAGTCCCTAAATTTCAGATGAAAATGCTTTCATTTCAGTGGCTGAAATTTAGAGACCGACAGTGAAGACTTTTATTTCCTACCTTACAAAAACGAGACTTGCACAGATCTCGTAGCTGTCTCCTGTGTGTGGCCTCTTCCAGAGTCCTACCACTTTCCACTGAAGACTTCCAGGTGATTTTTAACGGAATTGACTGTCAATACACAGCCTGATACAAAAGAAGCGACAGGAGAAAATTCCCGATCTTTTGCTCATAAATGAGAGGACTGTATTACTGCTGAAATGTCTGTCTCAGGCGTGAATCCATGAGCAGTGAGCCTTGGGGCTGGGGGTTCTTGGGGAGCTCGTGTGACATAAAGCGACTTGCAGACTCTGCCGTCATGTGCGGCATCCCTCACAGCCAAGTCACAGCCGCGCCGTCACCCTGTCCCTGCGAGAGTTCGTTCTTAGTGGAAGGTATCAGGGCTCAAAGACACTGAACGGCTGGGAAGGAAGGTATTCTCAAAGCTTTGACGGCTATGGATTCTCTGGGACTTGGACCCTTAGAAATTAAGTTGTTGCGAGTAAACTATTTCTATTTAATAGTGTAGTTTTAATTTATTTGCAGAAAAAAATTAAAAACCTGGAACCGCTATTAAGTGTCTGCAGGAGGGAAGGAAGTGCTAAAATCTCTGTCGTGTACTAAGTCGAGTAGCCTGCTGGTGCCGACTCTGTATGCGGATCATTTGAGTCTCTTGCACTGACTGGTCTCAGGGGAGTCTGTCTCCCAGAACTGCAGAGATTTGTATCAGGTTACATTCTTCTGTAGTGCAATCCTTAAAAATCCCAGAGATTAGTGCCTAATCACTTTAGGAAAAAAACAAAACAAAACAACGTCGACATTTTCCCTAACCCAGGGGTGTCACGAGTCCGACGGGTGGAACTCCACTGGGAGAACTCCCACCTTCAGTTCTCGGTTCAGATCACGTAGCTGCCCGGGAATTACGTGTGAGCCTAGAAGGACCAACGACAGCAATGCTCTTCGGGAGACATGCGGTCTCTGCATCGCGGCCAAAAGCGTAGACGGCCAGTTCCACCACCACGGAGATACCCGCTAGGCCACGTCCTGACATCAAGCTCCAATCTAGGGTTTTGGCAATAAAATTGAGTTTGATGTACTTCTATGCTAGGTTTTCTATCCAGTCTAGGAAAGTAAAGCACCTTTGGATTAAAAATATTAAGCTCAACAGCAACTAGACGTCTCAGTTTTGTATTTAATTTTCCTTATGTCTCCATGGCTTAGTAATGTTCTGCTGCCAGAGAAAAGTATCAGTCTGTGGAGTCCAGACCTTCTGCTGGGGGAGCATATTTCAACCTAAAAGTACCTAGAGAGGAGGGAAAAAGAGATCAAACATGATTCGCTGTAGAGTCACCACAAGCCACCAATCTGCCGACTGGTCAGGATTCTGGTGCTGGAAACCTAGACCCCCTGGTCTAGCCACGCCCACCTCCTCTAGCCACGCCCACCTCCTTCCCCTCCCCCCACTGGACGTTATTTTGTAAGTTTATAAAATTGGACCGGGTGGACTGACTCGAGGGAAGTTACCCATCCGTTTCTTTACTCTGCAGGAGCTTTCTCTGGGAGTCAGGCATGCACGGTGGGCGGGCGCCAAGGGGTGAGGGCAGGCACTCCCGGGCTGGCACCCTGCGCCTTAGGAGGTGCGACCGCGCTCTGAAGGGAGGGGCCCCCAGAGACACGGACTGTCGCCCCACCCCACAGTCAGACCTACTGAGTCACAAAGTGTGTGTCCCTATGAACTCTCCAGGGGCATGGGCAGGTCTGGGGAGCACAGATCTGCTGCGACCCTCAGAAGTTACGGGAGGTCTACAGAGACCCCAGGCTGCACCGGGAACAGCCAGCGTCAGACCAGCCTTCTCAACCCCGTTTAATCTTTCCAGAACAAACAGCGAGAATAAGCTATTGTGAAAAGTACAGCAGATACACGCCTGAATGTGGCTAAGGTAAAGGAGTCAAAAAAGAGAGTGGAAGGAAATAAACGAAGAGAGGAGGGACTGCCACGCCACAGCCTGAGCGCCCACCGCGGCCCCGGGGTGGCACCGAACCCCTCACACTTGCTGCTCTGGGCACGGGCAAGCCCGGACAGAGCCTGCGCTCTGTGCTCACCAGCTACTCGCCTTCTAGAATAAGGAGTTGCCTGATACCATAAAGACAGTCTCAGAACCAACAGTAACCCTTCTGGGGACTTTACGGCTTAGCTGTAAGATTCCCACGCTGCTCAGAGTATTTGGAAGATTATTAATTGCTTTAAAAAGAAAAAAACCATACTATTATTTTCATTAGAACCAAGCATGTGCATGTATTCTCCTGTGGGAGCCCAGCTGGGCGCGGTGCCTGCCAGGCAGGGCCCGCAGGACCCGGCCGCCGCGAGCGGTTACCTTGCCGGTTGAAGTCCATGGACGGCTGCTTGCAGTCCTGAGCGCGGTGACCGGTGGCCCCACAGTTGTAACAAGACAGGTTCCCACTCTTTTTGTGACTGGAGCCGTTGCTACCGCCCACCAATCCTTGGGCCTGGTACACCCCTGCCGTCCCCGCCATGAAGCTCGGCATCGGTGGCACCGCGAACGTGGACTGCCCGCCCAGGACGGGCTCCGGGGTCCCGCTGCCGCTGTAGGGGGCGTGCACGACGGGGAAGGTGGAGCCGCCGCCATACTGCTGGGCGCTGACGTAGCTGGGGTTGAAGGACAGGAATGAGATGGGGAACATGGACGGCCCGGAGAACGGGTGCTGGAAGTAGTTGGCGTAGCTGACGGTCAGGCCGCCGGAGCCGCAGCTGCCGCTGCAGCCGCAGGACGTGCACACGATGCAGCCGGGCGGGGGCGGCGCGGGCTGCTGATGGTGGTGGTGGTGGTGGTGGCTCGGGTTCGAGGCAGGAATGTTTCCTGTGGAGCTGCTGCCACCACTGCTGCTGTAGAAACTGCTTTCAGGGACGGAGGACAGTGCGGGGCTGGAGCTGGGGGCCGGGCAGCTGGGCAGCGAGGCCATGTTTGCGAAGGACGTGGAGGGGTGGCTGCTGGGAGAGGCAGTGTTGCTGTTTGCGCAGAAGCCGCCCTGCAGGGCGCCCACTGGCATGCTCATCGCGGAGAAGGCAACTTTGGTGTTGGCTGTGTACAGAGCAGTCCGGGGGTTGATTATTGCCGGGGGCACGCTGATCTGCACGTTATTAGGGCAGGACGTCTGCCCAGAAATGGCAGACTCCGCAGGAACCGAGGACGACAGCAGCAGTTTGATGGGAGGCCGGGCCGCGTGGAGGACCGTGCTGGGCGTCCCCGGGGCGGCCGTGCTGGTCTCCACCACCAGGGCCGGCTGCTGCGCCGACTTCAGTACCCTGTCCAGTGTGGACGCGTGCACGACTTTGGCTCGGGGACCAAAGGAGACCGTGGGTGACATGGAACTGCTCTCCGAGAGCCCGGAGAGCACCTGCACGGGCTGGTGGGGCGCGGGCGGGGGCAGCGCGTCCACCATGGCACCGCCGAAGCTCTTGTCCACCTTCACGCTGCTCCTCGGGCCAGACCCCTTGTTCCTGTCTTCTAGAGACAAAAGCGAGTGCACTGAGGACGAGAGCAGCTTCATGTCCGCGTTTCCTCTTTCCGACTTGTGCACGGAATTCAGCATCCGGATGGGCGCGACGTGCGAGGCCGCGCTCATCATCTGCGGGGGCAGGGCGTGGTGGCCCGCGGGCGCCGAGCCGGCCTCGTTCTGCACAGGGAGGACCTGGGCCGTGGGCCGGGCGGAACTCGGCGTGAAGTGGTTCAGCAGCATCACGGGCTTCTCCTTCTCGGGACCCTCCAGGTGAATCTCCACACCTAGAGGCGGAAACAGAGCGGTCAGCACCGTCTCACGCCCGGGCCGGGCCAGCACCACGCGCCACGCCGGCGCCCTTACGTCTGTCGTTCTCCTCGGCGCTGTCGGAGCTCTCCTCGCGGGCCTGCACCCCCATGGGGCTGGAGGAGGAGCTGGAGTACTCCGAGGAGCTGCCTTCCCGGGGTAGCTGGTGAGGAGGCTGCTCCACTTCCACCCGCAGCTCTGCGGAGAGGGACAGGCGAGGGGCCGTCGGCCAGTGTCCCCCGGCTCAGCCGCCACCTGCCCCGTGCACACGGACCGCACCATCAGCCCTGAGGAGCCAGGTGCTAGTCTGGGGGCAGACGGGCTCTGAGCGTCAGGAAACAGCCGCCCGTCCCGGACACACAGGGTGAGGGAGCGGAGACTCGGACGGGCGCTGCCCCACCCGACACCAGGAACACGAAGATCCCCTGAACACGTGCCCTTTTAATCCCCATTGCACACGCGTGACTCGCCCACAGACACGGAGAGACACCCCGGTTTACGAGGCTGGCCGAGTGACGTCTCTGGGTCACTGTGGTCAAGTGGTCAAGTGGCTGAGGATGACACGGGAGGGCTTTCTCCCCGTTCCTCCTGGGGTTTCTGTGATGAAGAAAGGCCCGGCCGCCCCGAAAGGACAGAGCCACTGTCACCACGTCCCGGCCCTTCCTCAGAGGAGGGGAGAAGGAAGGAAAGGAAGGAAAAGAAGGAAAAGGGGGTGTGGATAAAAGGGCACGCCACGGGGACCGAGTCCCCGAGATCAGGGGGTCGATGGAGAACCAGCTGCCTCCGGGAGGCGGGCGCTGACCTCAACCTGACCCCTGAGCACCAATCCCGGGAAGAGAGCGTCTCCTCTCGCGTCCGCTCGCCTCCTCGCGCTCGCTCACCCGGTGGTTTCTAGACATAACCATTTTGCCCAAACAACTTCAGACAAGTGACCGGCCTCCAGCTCTAACCCACCGTCCCATCTACTTTCCTACAGCAGAGACTATCAAAGTTAAAATAAAGAAAAATAAGTATAAAGATTACAAAATGTAAATGGCAAACGAATGTGACCTGAGGTCTAATTATCATCAAAAAAACGCACTGCAGGCCCGTGTGAGAGCTTCCCCACCTGCAGCATGGCTGCCCCGCCCAGCCTGCACGGGTCCGACGTGGCTGGTGGGGGGCACGCGAGCCACACCGCTGCTGGTGACCAAGGACGGGGCCGAGGGGTTCAGGCACCGTCTCTCTGACTTCTCCCTGTGAACAGAGCAGCACAGGAACACGTGAGCGCTCGCGGCTCTCACTGTCTCCCAAACTGTTCAAATCACACGAAGGTGGTTCCCATCAAAACCATCTGAAGGGTGGCAAAGAAGTGATTTGTCAAATTCACTACAAAGGGCTTCTCCTGTCACTCCGAAGCCACACGTGTGGAACGCTAAAAGCATTACTGAAGATTGGAAGAGCGGTAACAAGTAATCCAATCCCCGATATTTAACAAAACTGTACGCCTCAGCACTCGGCAGCACACGAGAAACTAAGAGAAATACAGGTTTCAAAACAATTCCGCACTCACTTTTCCAGCTCCAGCTGAGTCTTGAGTTTTTTCTTTGCTCCCATGGTGAGGGACTCAAACTTATTCAGATCTTCTTCAGTAAGGCTCAAAAACTTGCATGAGAGAAAGAAATGGCAAAGTTACTGAGAAGCAGTCAGGGCTCTGAAAACAGCGTGCACCTGAATTTGAAACATCTACGCCACGCCTGGGAGACGCAAACCGAACCAGTCGTGAGAGACTCGCAAATACTCCGCCCTTCACTCGCTGAACGATTCGGCACCGGCAGTTCAAACTGAGACACCGCGGGTCTGCCTCGGCGTGACCCGGCCGTGCGGAGGGGCACCGCGACCTCCCCCACCCTGCTGGCGCAGCCAGGCAAGCCACCCGCCCCGCGCTGTGCCAGTCCCGGCAGGTGCATGCTACGTGGGCAGGTGACTGAAGAAAACGTCTCGCGCAAGTCACAGTTCACCGCTGCAAAGACGCGGTCCGGGAGAGCGCCCCCTCGCCCAGCACGATGCAGTCCCTCTAGAACCCGCACCCCTGCAGACGGGAGGACAGTCTTCTTACGACGGGCCTCTTTTCAAAAAATTACCAATGTTTTAGGGATGGCAGCAACTTTGTCAGGCAGTGAGAGGTCCGGAAAAATAGACGCCACCCAAACTGAACGGCTGACTATCAGTACCACAGGCTGGTACTGAGCAAACAATGATACTCCAGTTTTCACATCATTCCGTGTTTAGTCGTTTCAACTCACACACTAGAATAAGAAGTTTTAAACTACGATCAAAGTTAGTATAATCTTTTCTTTTCCTTTTTCTTTTTTTTTGGACACAGGGTCTCCCTCTGTCGTCCAGGCTGGAGTGCAGTGGCACAATCCTAGCTCACTACAGCCTCAAACCTCTGGACTCAAGTGATCCTCCTGCCCTAGCCTCCTAACTAGCTGGGACTAGAGGTGCCACCACCACACCCAGCTAAATTTTGCATTTTTTGTAGAGAAGGGGTCTTGCTACATTGCCCAGGCTGGTCTTGAACTCCTGGACTGGAGTGATCCTCCTGCCTCGGCCTCCCAAAGTGCTGGGATTACAGGCGTGAGCCACTGTGCCCAGCCATAAAATCTCTTTTTAAGATTTATAAACCCTAAACAGAGGTATGTAGTAAGCTTGATTTCTAGGTTCAACTGTAGATTTTCGGACAAATGAAATTTTCACATAGATAAAAGCCACCAAGTCATTTTGTCCAGCAGGGGGGGCTCAGAGTTCAAATGCCTCCTACAGGTTCAATTTAGTTTATTAGTGACATCGAGACTTAAATTTCAGATTTTTTTTAACAATGAAAAAACACTCCTCATCAAACTCACTGTTGTAAAGAACGATTTCTAAGGAGGACTGCCTGGACGATGTAAAATCCGTCCGCTCTAGATACGACTTTGAAATCCAGCCAGATCCTCGGACAGCCACGTACGCGGACCAGTGTTTGGGTCCACGTGACACCGGCCTCACTGAGCTTTGGGATATGCAGAAGCTACACCGAACCTGTTCAGAACGGGGGGCTGGCACCAGAGTCCACGACTCCTGTCTCCAGCAGGGCTCTGGGGACAGACTGTCCGTCAGTCGCACAGAGCGTCCACGCCGTGCAGACCTGAGAGGAGCTAGAGAAGCTGTTTAGGACAAACCCGGCTCCGTTCGGCTCCAGCTGCAGGAGGCCCTCACGGTCCACTGCCCCCGTGAGACCAGGCCGTGGGACTTTCCCACCCTTGCTCCTTCCGCTTCACATGTATTTTGGAAACCCAACTCAACTCCTCTAGGAATGAGGTCAGAAGATATATTACTTGACAAAACAACCAAGAGAATTCTATACAGCTCGCTAAGAAACAAACATACCTTCTCCATGGTGAGCTGCTTAAAGACAGGGTAATACTTGTGCAAGCGCAGTTTCCTAAGCCAATCTAAAATTCCGTTTTGCTCCTGGGTCTGCGGGGCCTGCAGGCTGGACGGCATCAGGATGGCAGGCGAGGCGTCCATCTGGGTCCGGTAGGCCAGTGCCGAGCCTGCGCTGCCCGCGTGGGAGCAGTGGGGCAAGGCAGGGGCCGGGCCGGCTGGGTGCTGCACGTGGTGCTGGGCTCCGCTCTGCGAGGACGGGATACCGGCCACACCACACACGGGCCTGCGGGACAGGGGCGGGCGGAGAACAGAAAAACCACAGGCTCTACCACAGATCTGTTAGGTCTTCAGGCGCTGGCCTCCCGCTAGCCCGCAGCACAGCCCACTGCAAACTCTGGACACACCGCAGCTCCTTCCTCCCGCCACCCCTCCTATCATGGCCGCCTGCCTCCGGCTGAGATCTCTGCAGGTGTGTGCCCGTGCACGCGAGTGTGTGGCGTGGATGTGTCCGTGCGTGGGCATGTGTGCATCACACGTGTGTGTACGTTACTTTTTTTATTTTGGAGACAGAGTCTCGCTCTGTCACCCACACTAGAGTGCCGTGGCATCAGCCTAGCTCACAACAACCTCAAACTCCTGGGCTCAACCGATCCTCCTGCCTCAGCCTCCCAAGTAGCTGGGACTACAGGCATGCGCCACCACGCCCAGCTAATTTTTGTTTGTATTTTTAGTTGCTTGGGTAATTTTTTCTATTTTAAGTAGACACAGGGTCTCGCTCTTGCTCAGGCTGGTCTCAAACTCTCGACCTCGAGCAATCCTCGTGCCTCAGCCTCCCAGAGTGCTGGGATTATAGGCGTCAGCACCGCGCCAGGCCTTTTCTGTTATTTCTAAATCACAGGATGATAGTGATACATCAGAAATTAAAACTGACTACTAAATCTTTAATATTCAGATAACTTTTAGAAAAATAAAACCTAGGAGGCACCAACAGCATCGCGCACCCTGCCTTTGCTCCTTCCATCGCAACCCCAAACATATTTACTGAGAGCTTTCAATGGACCAGGCACGGGGGCAGGAAAGTCAGCACCCGCCAAGACCTTGTCACACGACTAGCACTCCACACAGAGCTATCTGAGGTTGTGTCACTGGGATGGCAGTTTTTTCCCTGTAGGCCCCCTCCGCGGTCACCTGTCCATCGAGACAAGCAACTGGCTTCTGAGCGGAGCAGAGCCGCTGTCACCCTAGGGCCGGGAGCTGACAGAGCCCCTCCGACGCCCCAGGGGCACAATCGTGAACTAGCGAGAGCCCAGGGAGCTTAGAAAAGTGACGCAGCTCAGACTCCGGCTTCCGCGCCTGGCGCAGGGCCCGGGAGCTTGAACTCGCAGGGAGTGTCCCTGGAATTCCAATCCCGATGGCTCCGAGCGCCATCTGGGAAATCGTGAATCGGATAATCTCTGCCCGTTCCTCCTCTCAACGCTGTCCAAGGCTAGTTTGAAAGCTGCTTAACTCCAGAACAATGATCTGCTCACAACTGAAAGTAAACCTCGCAAAGCGCCTACTGGGAACAGGCTGGTCGCAGAGAAGATCTCTTACCTTCCAGCCACGCCCATCATGGTACCTACTTTAGAGAGGGAAGGGTTGCCAGGACCTATAAATTCAAAAATAATTATCATAAACATTTCCAGACAACGAAAGCATTTCTATTTTTATTTAGTCGTATTTCATGAACTCACTTGGACTTTGAAGCTGTTGGGAGGGAGACGAAGTGCTGAGAAACTTCTTCACGTGGTCACTTTTTAACACGTGAGAAGGTAACGAAGCCAAGTACCTGAAACTCAAACACAACGGCCTGGTCAGCACGAGGATGGCCTGCCAAAAACTGCTGGTGAGAAAATGCCATTTTCAACCACGAGAAACACGTGTCAGAGAAAGAAAGAACTACATGTGCCACGACCTCACGTTCTTCCTGCTTTAATTTAACGCAACTTTTTTTTTTTTTTTTGAGACAGGGCCTGGCTCTGTCACCCGGGCTAGAGTGCAGTGGCGTCACCATAGCTCATAGCAGCCTCAAACTCCTGGGCTCAAGTGATCCTCCCGCCGCAGCCTCCCGAGTGCTAGGATCACGGGCGTGCGCCGCCGCGCCCGGCCTGACTCAGTTCTTGCTGCGGTTCACCTCGCCTGCGCAAAGCCCCTCCCCGCCCTCCACTTGCAGACCTAGTGCGCCCCGCTACCGTGCGCCGCGCGTGCGGCGACACCACCCAGGGCCCTCTGAGAACCTGTTTTCTAGGCGCTAATTGGAACAGTCTCAATTTTCACTACAGAACAGAAACAATAATCCAATATTATTAACAAAGACTGTCAAAATTACCTTAAATGACGGTGTATACTTTGAAATTCCTTCCCTATTACCTTTAAAATCACCCTTACGTTACTAGGATCTTTCAAATTCTCTGCAACTGATGAAATTCCCTAAAGGTGAAGCAGAGACCCAAACTCAGGTGGCCACGCGTCCCTCAGGAGCCCCTCGGCGGACCAGGACACACTGCGGGGCCCGCCCATCCCCGCCCACGGCCAGGCAGGGCCTCACCTCAGGCCCGCTTCCAGATCCATGTGGTTTCGCTCCACGTAAAACGCATCCGGCCCAGCTAAGCAAGGAATGAGTTTCTCCAAATTCTCTTCAGGGTAGAGCTGAGATAACTGAAAGGCAAGAAAAGCGTAAGATGTATGTCAAAGCCCATTTTATACAAGCACAATTCCTCAACACGAGAACACCCTGAGCAGGTGTTTGACGGCGACACCAGCGGGAGTGACGTCATTCACACCACTCCACCATGCGGGGCTCTGCACCCGCCGAGGACGGAGAAAGCCACGGAGGGCACCGCTCCCAGCACACCGCCAGGCAGCAGCTCCATGATCCATCGGCATGATCTTAGCTCCGCCTGGCCACCACGCGAACCGAATTCCGAACAGGACCCGACCCCAAGGAGACAGTCCTGCCGACAGCACGAGGACAAGGTGGCCGCCACACCGGCAGGTCAGAAGAGGTGGGCTCGGGTGGACGCTGCTCCAGGCCGTGTGGCCAGCGAACCCGCCCTCCTCCCCCAGCTCTCTTTCCCAGGAGGAGCGCCAAGGGCCCCATCGGTGGTGGCCCGAGGACCAGGCGCGAGGCCCTGTGCATCTCCCTGGACCCCTCTCTGAGTCCAAGACGAAAGCCCTCAGCCGTCGGGGGAGGGACAAGAACTGCCCAGAGCCTGAGCGGAAACCCCCCGTTTCTGGGGTGGAGCAGCGACAACGCTTCCCCTCCGCAGGGGCAGGCCCAGGCTCAAGGGCCCTGCCTGGGATGAAGCGAGGCTGGACGGGAGATCGGAGACCCCCCATGTCCCGCACCAGGTAACGAGCAACAGCAGGCCACTCCTGGGAGGGGCGAGAGAGGAGAGGGTGACGCCTCCGTGCCACAGGCGTCCGGGACTGCCGAGAGCTCAGAGTGAGCCAGACCACCGAGAAGACCCCTGGTCAGGTGGCAGCCCTTCACTGCAGGGGCGCACTGAGGGTAACCATGGCAACACCACCCAGAGCCAGCGCCGCCCAGACTGGCCCCGGGGTCCCTTTAAGGGCCTACGAGGAGAGGCGCGACCCTGCCCAGGCACGAGGAGCTCTTCCTCCAGCTCTGATCTTCCAGATGTGACGTCTAACACTCAACCAAAATGTGCAAGACACACAAAAAAATAAAGGGGAGAACCTACTGTCCAGAGACAAAGCAATCATCAGATCCAGACTCAGAAATAGCCCAGACGTTGGAACTATCAGACAGCAACTGTTTAAAATAACTGTCATTCACACATTCACGGACCTAGTTAAAAAGATGACACCATGCAAACAACAAATGGGAGATTTCAGCAGTGATGGAAACTATTACAAGGCATGTTCAATGGGAAAACTAGGGAAAAAAAACAAACTCAAAACAAAATCCCTGGTGCCAGAGATGAGGAGTTCCGCACATCGTCCAGGCTCAGCCTGGGCCACGTGAGGGGAGGAGCGTCGCCGGGTAGAGGACAGGGCGACAGAAATCACCCACGCTGCACACAGAGCAGGAGAGAAAAGCAAGACGTGCAGCAAAGAGCCATGGACAGCACCAGGGGCCTGAGACACATGCAACCGCATCCCAGAGGAAAGAACGGGACAGAAGAAATATTTGAAGAGCTAATGGACAAGCATTTTCCAAAATTAATGGAAAGACAACAAACCAGATACCCAGGAAGGCCACAGACCGAGCGGTGCACACGTCAGCCAGTGTGGTCACCCAGACCAAAGGCCAAGGAAAGGCCGAGTTCTAGCCGGCATTAGCGGAGTCCGGGGAAATTGCTTTTTTCACAGAATGGGAAGCCAGGCGCAGAGGAGAGGGAATTTGGTGATCTAAACATTGGGGAGAGGACAGTAAATTCCCAGGTGGTGTGTGCAAGCCTGGAGGGGTGGCACGTGTTCTCCAAGGCCTGACAGGCCAGAGAGATCAGTGTCGTCAAACGTCCGTGCAGGCCGTGGAGACAGGGCCGTCGGCTGAACGCCCCCTGCAGCAGCGCACCCCGCAGCAGCGCACCCCGCAGACACTTAGACATGTCGACGGCGGTGACGGCTTCGATGCACCACGGTGGCTGAGACGGTGGCTCCCCGCTGCAGCACAGGCCTGCGAACCGTGAAACACGCAAGTGCACACGCAGGTGCGCGTGTACACGGTCACACGCAGGCAGAGAGCTCTGTGTCCAGCAGAGGGACTTTGTTCAAGCGGCATCTGCTGAACCAACGCGTAACACAGACGAGGGGGAATCAGGTGAGTCTCCGCCCGCGCGGCCACCCAAGCGCGCCCCTCCCGTCGCCCGGCCACGGAAAGCTGGGGGGGCGGGGAAGGAAGGAGCGACAGAACAGACAGAAGGGCCATCGGTCACTTGTGCCTGGCGCCCAGGCGGGATCAGGCCTCGCGCAGTGGCCCTGGGACCGCGCGCTACGCCGCGAGGGAGGTGACCCGTTGGAGTCACTCCCCGGTGCTAGTAACCAGCGGGGACGCGGTTCTTTCCACGGCTACGCGAGCCCTTCATCGCCTTACCTTTGAAATAAATTCAGTCACTTCAGAGGAAGATTTGGTTACTGATGTTATTGAAGAATCAGACCACAAGACCTTAAAAACAAATAAACAAACAAGCCTTAAGAACAGACACCACATACTTGATTCACAGCACACGTGTCCGGGCGTTATTCGCTGGCAGGGGTTCGGCGAGCACGCAAGCCCTAGCGTCTCGCACATCTGGTGCACGGGGCATCTGCACGTGCCTTGACTTGTTAGAAAAAGAACGGTCCTATAACACAAGTCTGTTAAGGCACAACTCCTTGTTCTATGCAATTTGAATCAAGCATCACCAAATTACCAAGCACGGGGCCTAACGGTGGCTAAGTTTCAGAGAATCACTGACAACCACAAACCGCCTGCCACGCTCACCCTCCAGCCCACGGACCGTCTGTGGGGCCTGGCGCTCTTCAGAGTCTGCGCCACCAAGACGGCTCTCACCAGATGTGGCCCTTCGACAATGGACTTATTGGCCTCCATAATTTTAAGAAATTTCTTTTCTTTATAAATTCAAACAAAAACATGCTTATGTACGCCAGTGTTCGTCTTTCTCCAGGGAACCTCTGCTCAGGTAAGTCTACGTGACTTCAGATGCAAGATCAACAGGTTCCCAGAAATAAGCCCCTTCATTCAACAGTAAGCGCCCGTGGTGGGTCAGGCGCCGTAGACACACGGACACAACCGGCGCAGTGCCGCTCTCAGGACACCGCATGACTGTGGTGGCAGGACAGGGTGGTGAGTACCAGAGAGAGACTGTCTTCCCTGGGAGGAGGGGCCAGGCAGGAAGAACCCAGGGAAAGTATCCGAGAAAGCTCCCTGGAAGTTCTACGACACCTGGTGTGTCCCAGGCCAGGCACAAGCATATTTTTCCTTCCTGGCACACAGCACAGTGCCCACTGTCATTTCCTGTGTCCCCGAGTGGACTCGGCTCTGGGGCAGGGGCTTATCTTTGCTGGCCCCACAGTGTGCATCCCACAAGTGCTAGCCCAGTGGAGGGGGGAGCACTTGTGCACGTCGGAGGCGTTTGTGTGTGGAGAAAAAGCAAGTAAGCAGCACAGAGGGGGCGGCACGGGACAGACGGAGGTGGGGCCAGAGCAGGAGGGTCCCTACCAGACGCACACTGCACTCTCAAATCTAGAAGAAGCTATCGGAGGACTTCCCATCAGGAAATAAAATGACCAAGTGTATTTTATTTTGCACAAAGAAAGTATCACGTTTACACTGATTTAGAGCAAAGAGAGCCTGGAGATGCGGAACCACCTCTGCCCTCCGCCCCTTCCCTGCCCCTCCAGCCCCCAGGCTGGACCAGCTCAGGCACCCGCCCCGTGTCCCACACCACGGAGCAGTTACTGGCGGGTCAGTGCCATCAGACTCTCACGAAACACGAGCTGACTGAGGGAAGGGACCTCTCTCCCTGATCTCTGAACTACCAGGACTCACTGACACGGCGGACACTGGCGTCCTCTGAACTGACCGCTGCGAGCACGCGCCTTGCCAGCCAAAATCTCCGCACACCTGCGACGAGAATCCCTAACTGCTTCCCTGTCTGAAGCAGTAAAATCTCACTCTCAACACTAAAAAGGAGCTCGGGAGGGGCTCGTAAACACCATCGGCATCTCGGGAAAGGGAAAACTTCCTCCTAAGATGCTGACCCAAAGCACCGCCCACAACGTGCATTTCTTGAAGTAAAATATGCCGTAGAAAACTTCCTTCCTTACAACTCACAAGCCTGTTTCTAGGATGACTCTTTTTTTTTTTTTTTGAGACAGAGTCTCACTCTGTTGCCCTGGCTAGAGTGAGTGCCGTGGCGTCATCCTAGCTCACAGCAACCTCAAACTCCTGGGCTCAAGTGATCCTACTGCCTCAGCCTCCCGAGTAGCTGGGACTACAGGCATGCGCCACCATGCCCGGCTAATTTTTCTATATATTTTTAGTTGGCTGATTAATTTCTTTCTAATTTTAGTAGAGGCAGGGTCTCGCTCTTGCTCAGGCTGGTCTCGAACTCCTGAGCTCAAACAATCCGCCCGCCTTGGCCTCCCAGAGAGCTAGGATTACAGGCGTGAGCCACTGCGCCCGGCCCTAGGATGATCCTTTTCTCTCTTTCTTTCTACATCCACACTGCACGGACGCGTCCTAACCCGACAGAGACAGGAAACGCAACGTGATACAGCACGGCCTGCGCACATTGCTTCGTGCTGAAACAGACAACTTACTTTCCAGCAATTACACACTTCACATAAGCACGCCTGTTCCAGGTTGTGCGCTCCTGGTACGTTTTCGCTTACAGATGGAGCTCACATTCCCATCTGAGGCAGTCACACACACGCGACAGGCGGAACCGCGGCTGGTTTACTCTCAGCTGCGACGCTGGGGTCTGCACCAGACTGCACCCCAATCCCGGCTGCCCGGCCCTCACCTCTGCCTCACCGCCCACGGGCCCCACAGCACTAGAAGAGGGACAGGCCCCTGGAGGGCGTGGAGACGGGACGAGTGGTCTCACACCACAACAACCTGACCCATGCTATAGAGACACGTGTCTAACCAAACCCAAGGTGGCACCAAGTGTCAGCCACTCCATTATTTGACGTGTCACCAGGAAAAGACGTTGCCAATCAGACGGTGGCACAGCATTTTCCTGTGACTCAAAGAGCTACGTAGCCTCATCTGGACGGATTTTAACATAACCTGATCATACCCCAAAAGCAAAACATGCACAGAACACACACATGCTCAGGACGTCATCACATGCAGACTCTGATTCCTACAAGCCGCTTTGCCTCAGCTCCCAACGTCCACGCCGTTCCACGCCGCACCCCTCTGGACCCCCGGTGCAGCAAAGCCTCATTCCGCACCAGGAAGCCGCCCCGCTAGACCGTCCTGGGGCACGTCCTGCCCACACCCCTAAGGGGACAGGCAAAGCCATCGAGCAGAAAAAAGCAGCCCAAAGGAAGCACAGACTCTAAGAAAACTAAAAATAATCATTAATGTTCTTACTGAGCTAAGTGAGAGAAGAAAGCACATCCAAGAACAGCTAAGAAAAAGGAATTGTCAGAAAATAGGGAAGATGTGAGGCGCAGCAGTTTTCGAAGACCTTGTCACTAAGCAAAAAAAAAAAAAAAAAAAAAAAAGGAGGGGGGCATTTCTAGGGAAAACAACGTTGGGCAAGAAAGGGAGAGTCCCAGGAACACGCCAGCTGGCTTGGCCAGAGCTCCTCCACCGGGTCGCGTCCACCGGCCTCGGAGGGAAGGCCAACCGTGCCTGCTGCCGAGGACGCCCTGCAGAACGCCGGTCTCTAAACATGCGCAGATATGCCCGATAGAAACAAAACTCAATTTGTCGCCGGCTGGTCCCTAAAACAATAAACAAAAAACCCAACTCAATTAAAACAAGTTGCCAAGACTAGTCCTTTGCTAATATGCGTAACATATTCAGAGAAGTTAATATTGTTTTGAGATAAAAAAATAAATTCTGAAAGAAAGGATACGACACTAAAATAAAGGTAACGTCTGGGTGATTTTAAGGAAGAATGGTTATAAAAGAGTTGTTTTTTATAACTATTGTTTTATACTATTGTTTTATAATTCTTCTTAGGTCGATACAGCTGTACAGGCGTCACAGGTTATCAGTATTCCCACGGTTGGCGAATCTTTTGATTTTTTTCCTCCTGGTTCATATGTAATAAGAAAACTTTTAATTAAAATTAAGTTTTAGTAATTTCAGTTTCGTAGCAGTGAATGTGGAAGAGCTGGTACACGCGGACATCTCCCACGCAGTCGCGTACGCAGTTTACATTCAGAAGGGGTCTTTCGTTTGTTTCCTGCACACGGATCTGACTCCCGCGGTAACCAGCAGCTGCGATTACAATTTCAGCAGAATCGAAACCGACTCCGTGGAAAAGGACCAGAAACCCAACTCCCACTGCAGTAGACTTGTGCGTCTTGAAATCATCTTTATCCGCTACTTAACATCTTGCTATAACACGGTAACCTCTCATCTGTATCCTAGAAAACAATGACACGTAAGAATTAAAACTAGAAAGAAAGCAGGCTGAGATAATCAGTGCAGCAGGTGGAAGTCATTTATTTCTCCCGGATGAGTGAAGGCTTGCAGAAAAGAAGGTTTCTTTGACTCTTCCCACACTGTTAGCCACAGACTGTCACACCTCACCGAAGTGTGGGAGACACGCCTCAGAAAGCTTTTTTATTGTTCTGGTCACAGTAAAAAATTAATAGCTATTTATTTCCATTTACAAAGGGCAACTGACTTAAAGGAAAATTTAATTTTCATTAGGGTTCTTTGGACAAAAAGAAAATCTGAATCCTAATTTTTTTTTTTTTTTTTTTTTTTTTTTTGAGACAGAGTCTCACTCTGTTGCCCTGGCTAGAGTGAGTGCCGTGGCATCAGCCTAGCTCACAGCAACCTCAAACTCCTGGGCTCAAGCGATCCTCCTGCCTCAGCCTCCCGAGTAGCTGGGACTACAGGCATGCGCCACCATGCCTGGCTAATTTTTCTATATATTTTTAGTTGTCCGATTAATTTCTTTCTATTTTTAGTAGAGACGGGGTCTCGCTCTCGCTCAGGCTGGTTTCGAACTCCTGAGCTCAAACAATCCGCCCGCCTCGGCCTCCCAGAGAGCTAGGATTACAGGCGTGAGCCACCTAAAGTTTTTTTAAAAATGAGTTTTAATAAATTTTAATAGACAATTAACCACATACAGTATACAATTTGATGTTTCAACATTTGTGAACACCCCAGAAGTTTCCTGAAGCTCCCCAGGAAACTCCTGAGCTGCTTTCTGTTGCCATAGATTACTGTGCATTTTCTAGAATTTTACGTAGATGCTCAGAATGGACTTATAACGCGCGGCTTTCTGTTTTGGAAGGACGAGTCTGGCTTCACGCCACACAGCTGAGATCCATCCACACTGCGAGGACATCGACGGTCACTGCACTCCTCTTCGCCGCTAAGCACGGTTCCGAGGGGCGGACACAGGTGCCCAGAGCATCCACCCACCCCTGCGAGTGGGTACTGGTGCTGTCTGCAGTCTCACGGCGTTAACGCACACAGCTGCTCCGAACATCTGTGTGCAAACCTTCTAAAAACACACATGTACTTTCCCCGGGTAAATATCGAGGCATGGAACTGATGGCTCACGGTGTAGGTGTAGGTTTAACTTTTTAAGAAACTGCCAAACCGTCTTCCAAAGCAGTTGCACTATTCCGCGTTCCCACCACTAGATTCCAGGTCCTCCCACCGCCAGCGGGTCTTTTCGTTTTAGCCGTGTGACAGGCACGGGGTCCTCCCCCGAAGCTGTGTGAACCCGTGTTCTCCTAATGATCGGTGATGCCGAACATCTTCTCACATGTGCTTACTCCACACACATTCCTTGGCAAATCACTCAAACCTTTCAGCCATTTTCTATTGGGTTGTTTGCTTATTATTAAGTTCTGAGAGTATTGATATATTTTGAACGTAAACCCCTTCGTCGGCTGTGTGATTTGTTAGTATCTTCTCCTAACCTAGGGCTTGTGTTTTCATTCTCTTCGCAACGCCTTTCAAAGAGCAAGTTTTAAATGTTGATGAAGTCGAATTTATCAATTTTTATGGATTTCTTTGGGCTTTGTTATCTAAGAAACCTTTACCTAGTTTAAAATCACAAAGTGTTCTCCTATGCTTTCTTCTAGAAGTTACATAGCGTTTGGTTTTACATTTAGGTCTATCATCAATTTAGAGTTAATTTTTGTATGAGGGACGCGGTGAGGTCAAGGCTCTTGTGTGCACTCCAGACTGCTTGTTGAAAAGACCAGCCTTTCTCCACTGAACGCCAAACCCTCTCCAAACCTTTGTCAGAAGTCCGCCAACCGTCTGCATTTGAGCCTGAGTCTAGAGTCTCTCCTGTGCCACGCCCCCTTCGGCAACAGCAGGGTCAGGATCCTATACTGAATAAGTCTTGAAATCAAGTAGTGTGAGTCCTCCAACTTTTGTCTTCTTTTCTAAATCGTTTTAATTACTCTAGTTCTTTCCATATAATTTTCAGAATCAACTTGTTGATTTCTAAAATAGAAAAATGCTACCGGGATTTTTTTGGGGGCGTTTTATCATTTAAGATGAGAGAAAGTATGTTTGAAGATATGTTAAATCATCTTCTCGTGCTACCCTTTGGTTTACCTTCTCTGCAGAGCTATGGTCCTAGCACTGCTGGCTGTGAACTGCCGCGGAAAGGGCCTGGGGCCGTCTAACTGGCAGAGGGTCTCACTTCTCCTACCGGACAGGAGACCCCAACCTGCGGTACGTGAATAGTGACGCCATCGGGGTCTTGCAAGTGGCCACGTATTTAAGAGTATAAGGGCACAAGAAACCAGCAATGACCACACGAGTAACAGTTTAAGCCGTGTCAATGAACAGTGTGTTTTGTAACTAATAAGACGCACTTTAACAGATGTTGATATTATAATGACACTCTTCCTTTGTGCCTTGAATCACCACCCCGCGCAACACGTGTCATTTGGGCTGTAAATTCCTGAAGGCGTATCAAGTGAGTGTCCAGAAAGGAAAACGAGCTGGACCGCTGGGTGCTGGCGGATTATCAACTTCCCACACACGGGGACACTGCCAGTTGCCACATTACAGGAAGGCAGCGCTCCAGGCTAATACAGCTTTGTCTGTGAATCCTGCAACACCTGGGTGCCCCCACCTGGAGCAGAGAATGTCTTCAACTGAACACCTAACACTAGACAGGGGTCATGGACGTGTGCACTGCGCAGTGTCTACGCTGGTGCCGCTAGCGCAGCCACGCAGCCCACGGTTCCGGCTGCTGTCGGAGCACTGGGGGCCCCACGTCTGCCTCGCGGCTGCCACTCCCCCCTTGGCCCGATCAGAACACTTTCCTCCAGGCAGAGGCTGCGAGAGGCCAAGGGTGTCTTGTCAAAGCTCGCGTCCTTACAGAAAAGCTGTCGGCAGTCACGTCGTCTGAAGTTACCACATCTCGCGCTGCGCGGCCTTGACTTCCTTGCCGCAAATAACTGGACCAAGGATCAGGAGAAATCAAAGCCAGGCCGAGAGAGCGGGTGAGAGCGAGGCCGGCCCCTCCTGCGACCGCTTCCCGCAGGACACTCTTCTAAGCAAACAGCCCTGCCGGAGCCCACGAGGACCCCCACAAGGAGACTGACAGCGCAACGCAGACGGGAGGGAAGGAGCGCAGCACAGACGACAAGGCTCCAGGGTTCCTGGGGTCGCTGCCGGGCTCCAGGGCACTCAGGTGGCCCGGTGGTGCTGCTCAGCCTCTGCCCTTCCGGCCTCGACAGCCCCAAAGCCTAAGCTCGGTGTCGTCCTTACAGCACGAAAAGACCAATCTGCAGCGTAGTAACTGATTCTCACAGCTCAGTGTCCCCCGAATCAAATGAAGATTTTTATCCTTTTGTGGTAGAAGGACTGAAAGCATTCTGACGTGGCTGCGCTGAGCAATCAGTACACTGCACTCAGTACGTCTACTAGGCACTAACGGAAGCTTCCGCTCCCGAGAACGCTGCGACAGCCTTTGAGGAGCAGTCGGGGCCAAGGAGAGCCCAACAGGTGACAGGGACAGCCTGATCACAGGGCGGGGTCACGGGGACACGGGCAGCCTCTCTCACAGCTAAGTAGGACCAAGAAGCTAAATTCTGGCCAACAAAACACAAGTGCGCATGTCCAGAGGCTGCCTTCAGGAATGTTCCTTAAAAGAAAGATAAAAAGCAACCTTTCTCCTCGTCCCCCAGCATCTTGCTGCCCAGAAGGAAAACGTGAGGACGGAGCCTCGCCAGGGATCCGGAGGCCGAGGGCACATCCTGGGATGTCAGAGCAACGACCCGGAGGGCGCAGCCCTGAGCCTCTGACGGGTGCAGCCGCCGGCCCAGCCCGCGGCCTCCTGTGTGCTCGGGTGTGCGACAGAAAGGAACTCTGTGTGGGTCCCACCACTGCTGCGATGGTCTCCAACCCTCATACCCAGTCTATCTCCATCTTCACGACTCTTCGTTATACCCAACTTTGGTGACCAACTACCAGCACCTGAGCACGTCGGTTTAGAGAACTTTCCCCATGTGACCACGGAGCTTGGTCACCTAGTCTTTGTGGACAATCAACACCCTAGATTCTGGGCTCAGAGCTCCCTTGGCCACCTCGGCTCATTCTCCGGAACCCCCTCCTCCCACTCCCTGGCCACACCCCCGCCAGACAGACCCGAGCTGCCAGGCCAGGCCTGCCCCGCAGAGGCCACACGCGTGCGGAAGGGCAGCCCGCAACCCCGTCCTGGACACGGCCCACCCTGGGCGCCGCCAGCACTGGGGCCGGGCTTCGCAAACAGGCACCGCTTCTATTTAGATAGATAAAGTTCCTATTCGCGGAAATGCTTTCTTCCTATCCCTTAGAGGAGAGAGGGAAAAAAACTTAGCATCTTACCTCAAAGGAACATTCAACATTTCTGTCATTTTTTGTGTGTGACAATCCCTTCAGGTCTATCTTTTCAACACTCACTGTAAAAGTAAAAAAAACAAAAAACAAAAAACAAATTATAAAAATGAAATAAGAGCTTGAAGTACACACATGATTATTTTGCATTTGATATTGTAGCAGTTTCACACGAGGCTGTCAGTGCCCAGGACCGTCTGGTCACACCTGGGGGCTTCACCTGCGTCCCAGACGGCGGGGACGGCCAGCGGCCGTGCACACGGACGGCAAATTGAAACACAAAACAGAAAGTGCAGACAAAAATAAAACCGAACCACAGAGAAGGAAGAGCAGGGAACAGAGCTTGAGCCCGGCGCGGTGTACTCGGAGGCCCGCGAGCACCGGCTCTTGTCACGACTGAGCAACTGCGCAGCTGCCTCTGTCAACCCTCCCAGCAGTAACGACCCCGCTGGAATTTCTGACAAACTATTGCTCAACGTTCTCCACCCTGACGATGTTTCCGCGAGTACAATTGCCCAGAGGGCCTCTCCTGTGCGTCTTCTTGTTGGCAGAGTACGTCCCCCCTCCCTGACAGGCCGGGGCAGCGCAGACCCGAGCGGCAGCTACAGGGGAACCACAGAGCGGACCGCGCAGTCCACGGAGGCACAGGGGACGGGGAGGAGGAGCCCCGCCAGGCTGCCTCGGAGCCAGCGACCTCCTCGTCCCCCGCCTCCGCATACACAGATGCATTTTTTCCTCCTCAAAAATAAGATGACAACACGTTTCAAGCACCATCTCTCTCTCTCGTTATTTTGAGACGGGTCTCCCTGTCCCCCAGGCTGGAGCGCAGTGGTGTGGCCACAGCTCACCGCAGCCTCCTACTCCTGGGCTCAACCTATTCTACCACCTCAGCTTCCCAAAGCCATGGGACAACAGGCAGGAACCAGCACACCCGGCCCTTAAGTACTACTTGTAAACGAGCCCAAATATCTATCCAAGAGCAAATAGTCACTTATCAGACACGCGGTAGTTTCCAGCTCCGCCCACATCAGCTCGTGTGTGTGCTCTGCTGCCGGTCCAAGGCTGACGTTTCTCCAGCGTAACCAGCTCTTCATCTCCCTCCCCAGGGGCACAGTCACATCCTCCACCTCTGCGGACACCAGGAAGGGCCTGTCACAAGGCAGGAGGGCTCCCAACGCGCCACCCACCCTCTGCTGCTGTCCTAGCGGCCATCTGCCGTGCGCCAGGGGATTTCTGCGCGTCTGTAAACCTCACTCTGTCGGATGTGAAAGACTCGATATAGCCAATGTTTGCCAGAGTCTTCTCTGAGGAACACCATTGCTCTCACATGTGGCCACCCCTCAGAAAAATGCATGGTCAAAAGGTTTTCAGGGAAAAAAAAAATATCAGAAACCCCTTCCAATAGACTTTTTTTTCTTTGGAGACAGAGTTTCACTCTGTTGTCTGGGCTAGAGTGCCGTGACGTCACCCTAGCTCACAGCAACCTCAAACTCCTGGGCTCAGGCGATCCTCCTGCCTCAGCCTCCCGAGTAGCTGGGACTACAGGAGCATGCCACTATGCCCGGCTCATTTTTCTACTTTTAGTAGAGACGGGATCTCGCTCTTGCTCAGGCTGATCTTGAACTCCTAAGCTCAAGTGATCCTCCTGCCTCAGCCTCCCCGAGTGCAGGGATTACAGGCGTGAGCCACTGCGCCCGGCCTCTCATATACTGTTAATGTGCATTAGCACATTGAAGGCTCTGAGAAGTCCTATAATAAATAAATCTT